CCGTGCCACAGAACAGTAGTGGTGGCTCTCGACCTATCAAAGGCCTTTGATACGGTCAACCATGCCACGCTGTTCGAGGACGTTGAGAACACTACCCTCCGGCCAAGTTTGAAACGTTGGATAGTAAACTATATGCGTGGACGCCAGTCGTACGTGGAATTCTGGAATAAGAAGTCCAAGCCTCGTAGAGTGAAACAGGGAGTTCACCAAGATGGGGTGATATCTCCGGAACTGTTTAACCTCTACCTTTCCGGAATTACGCGCCCTTCAGAAGGCATCGAGATCGTAGCTTATGCGGATGACTGTACGATCATGGCGTCGGGTCCTGTAGTTGATGACATATGTGTCAGGGTGAATAACTATCTCGCGGAGCTTGCCGCCTTCTTCCATGCGAAGAATATGAAAATATCCGCCACTAAATCGACGGCCACACTATTTACCACATGGACATCGGAGATGAGAACACAGCTGAATGTGCAGGTCGAGGGGCACATAATTCCGACCACCAACTTCCCCAAAATCCTTGGGGTCACATTCGATAGCAAGGTGCTAGCCGGCAGCACCTGGGGTGCGGATAAGGAAACCTTGTTGACCTCTTATAAAGCGATAGGTCGGTCTGTGGTTAGCTATGCGGCTCCAGTGTGGTCGGCGAATACGAGAGCAACGCAGTGGAAAAGTATTCAGACCTGCCAGAATGCCGACCTGAGAACTGCAACAGGGTGCCTCCTCATGACTCCTGTGGACCATTTACATGAGGAGACGAAGGTTCTTCCCTTACGTCAGCATAATTATATGCTTTCGTTGCAGTACCTGCACAATACGCTGCACCTGTTTAATTGGCCAGCCAAACCTACCAAACTTGTCCAGAGGATCTATGGCTACAGCCAATAAAGGTAGCAGAATTCATAAGCCTGGACATTGAGGAAGAACCGGAATAGTCAGGAAACAAACAACGGGACATGTTAAAACTGCTACAGCAACAACAACAACAACAAGATCAAAACAACAACAAAAACAATCCCACGGTGGCCGGTTCTATGTACCGGATTGACTCGGAGGCACAATTCTCCGACCAGGGGCCGCCAACCCAGCAAATACATGTTCGTGTTCGTCCATTTTTCTGACATGGGAGCAACATTACCTGGAATGTTTGCTCCGGACCATGGTTCTGCTCCGTTTGTCGTATCCACCACAGATCGGTTTCGGTGAGATGCAACGGATGCATAGAGTGGGTGCATTTCCGGAATTGTTCCGGCCTAAACCGGATACAGGAGTACAGCGATAGGGACTACATTGCTTCCTGCTGCGTCAATGTAGACTCCAGTGAGTCTTCATCTTCGGCGTCCTCATCGTCGTCGCAATATGAGACTCCCCCGCAATCTCCTCAACAGCAATCTACGCAGCAGTTGACGCCACACATTGCTGTTCAGGTTCCGGATAATGCATCATTTCTCCAGTTTAATTGTGATGGTCTCAGAGGTAGGATTAACGAAATTGTAAGCTTTATGAGTCGGAAGAACATCAAGGTCGCAGCGATCCAGGAAACGAAGCTGAGTACCACCTGCAGGCCTATTGCACCACTCTGTCCAGTACAGACCTATCTCGCCTGAGCTTGACTCTAGTGACCCGTACATGGAATGTATGGAGGTAGCGGTCAAGTGTGGAACCGCCGAGATAGAGGTACCCCATCTTATATGCCTAATATCAGTTCACTACTGGTAGGCAATAACCGTCTGGTGCTAGGGGATTTCAATGCCCATCATGAATTATGGCATTCCGTCCTAGTTAATGACCAGAGAGGCATGGCGCTAGCTGAACAAATTGATAGCTCCACGTTTTGCACAGTAAATGAGGACGCGCCCACCAGAATAAGGGGCGACTGCCACAGTTCTCCGGACATATCCATCGTATCCCCAGGTCTGACGAATGACGTAATTTGGCATTCAGTCATTTCTCTAGGCTCAGACCACCTCCCCAATATTATCGCCATAAACAGACCACCCGACTTCATTGACTCTGAACGCCGCACTTTCCTTAACCACGGGAAAGCCAATTGGCAAGAATTCAGAGAGTATACCAATCGCCGCTTCAGAGAACTGCCCAACCCATCTGATGTTCAGGTAGCAGATAGGTGTTTCCGGGATATCATCAAAGCTGCAGCCGCTCGCAATATACCTGCTGGTCGAATACCTGAAATAAGACTAAATTTCCCAGCAGAGGCAGCGGTATTACCAAACGAGCGAGATGAGTTTCGCCGTACTAACCCTAATAACCCCCGAGTCAGGGAACTTACCCTGGAGGTAAACAGGTTAGTAAAGTGGTTAGAACATCTGAAGCATTGCAACATCGGCACCGGAACGAGTAAATTGTGGGCAACGGTTAAGTCGCTCTAGAACCCTGGAAAAAAGGACGATCGGACATCTGTCTCTCGCTTAACGGCGTAGAAGTGACAGATCCGAAGAGGTGCGCGTGTTATTTTAACCGGCAGTTTGTAGAGCACCCCGAGAATGACAAGGCGAAGAGAAGGATCCTACGCCGTGTACGATCCCTTCCAGCCGAGGAGGTACCACCACAATTTACGTTGGCAGATGTTGCACAGGTCATCAGAAGCGCAAAGTCATCCAAAGCGCTTGGTCCTGACGGAATCTCAATGGTTATGTTGAAGCAAATGGATGAACCAGGAGTTGAGTATCTCACAAAGCTTTTCAATATGTCGTTAGCCACCCTAATAGTTCCCGATGCCTGGAAAATGGGCAGGGTGGTCCCGCTACTGAAGCCAGGCAAGGATGCCAGCAAAAGTGATTCATACAGGCCGATATTACTTTTGTCACCAGTAGCAAAGACGCTTGAGGCTTTACTCCTCCCCAGCATAAGAGAGTTTTTTCCCAGTAGCCGACCATCAACACGGATTCCGAAAATTGCACAGCACAACAACAGCTTTACACGCCATTTCCACACATGTCAGCAGAGGTCTCAACCAGAACAGGCTGTGCGATAGAAAGTTATGGTGGCACTTGATTTATCAAAAGCCTTTGATACAGTCAATCATGATGTGTGGAGGCCAGTCGTACGTGGAATTCAGAAACAAGAAGTCGAGCATCCGTAGAGTTAAACAGGGAGTTCCCCAAGGGGGGTGATATCTCCGGAACTGTCTAGCCTCTACCTTTCTGACATTCCACGCCCTCCAGACGGCATAGAGATTATAACGTACGCAGATGATTGTACGCTCATGGCGTCCGGACCCATTATTGATAACATTTGCGGTCGGTTAAACGCTTACACTGCGAGGAATATGAAGATATCCGACACTAAGTCAACGGCCACACTTTTCACCACATGGACTGCGGAGATGGGGGCTATCCTTGAATGTGCAGGTTGATGGTGCTATTATTCCGACCACCAACTACCCCAAGGTATTAGGGGTCACATTCGATAGCCTCTTTAAATCGTCCGCGTATAGAAGTAGGAACAAGGTCCTCAAGTCTCTGGCCGGCAGTACTTGGGGAGCTGATAAGGAAACCTTGTTGACCTCTTACAACGCGATAGGCGGGTCTGTGGTAAACTACGCGGCTTCGATTTGGTCCGCCAACGTCAGTGCTACGCAGTGGAAAAATGTTCAGTCCTGCCAGAATGCCGCCCTTAGAACCGCAACAGGGTGCCTTCTCATGACACCTGTCGATCACCTACATAAGGTCTTACCGGTGTGACATCATAACAAAATGCTGTCAATGCAATACCTGCTTGGGTGTTATAGACAAAGCCATCCGAATCACCATCTTGTGGATAGGCAACCTCCGCCCAGGTACGTTAGGAAAGACCTTCATGATCTAGAGAGAGGTACAGAGGTATAAGAGAGGGCCTCTAGATCAACAGGCCTATCAAGCGGGACTGAATAGTATTGACTAAAATGCGGTCTCAGAAGCCGTTGAAGGATGTAGAGTGAATGCTGTGCCGGGAGACCATCCCGATCCCGTCGCAGCTGAAGAACGAGAGCTGCCCCGACAAACCCGAGTAGTTTTGGCTCAATTACGATCCGGATGGTGCAGCCGCCTAAATTCCTACTGGGCCTGGATTAACAGCGACGTGCAGAACATCTGCCCAGCATGTGGCACAGGCCCACATGACACGCTGCACCTATTTCGCTGCCCAGCCAAGCCTACTCACCTAACTCCAGTCTCGTTATGGACACAACCCATACAGGTTACATCCTTTTTGAGACTGGACTTAGAGGCAGAACCTGATTGAATTGAGTCAGAAAATGGAAACCGAACGAACACAGATGTATGAGTTGCTACAACAACAACAAGATCAAAAGAGCTAAAGTGTTGCTTCGCTTGGCCGAAAGTGGTGAACTGCCGAATTTTGTCTTCTCCGATGAGAAAACATTCGTTGTTCAGCAGTTTGTAAACAAAATGATCGTATTTACTTGCCAAAGATGTCAGCTGAAAATGTGCACCTTCGTTGGCCACAAGAACTGAAGCGCCGGCCACGGCGATGGTGTGGGCCGTCATAACAGCCGATGGTCGCTCTCCGCTCGTAATATTCAACCATGGCATCAGAATAAATGTCGAATATTATCGAGAAAATATTCTGGAGGGCGTATTAAAGCCTTGGGCACGCAAATATTTGGGCCGCAGGCCTTGGAATGGTTACAAAATGAGGTTCCTCGCTTCATAAAATCTCCGAATACCAATCCATTGGACTATTGTGTCTGAGTAAGCGCTTCGCCGGGAAGGGGCCAAAATACCGCAGTACAACAATTCGGGCAGCGTGTGAAGGTTTCATGGCCTTCAAACGGCCAATGAGCAAATTTAAACTTAATGTAATAAAAATAAAAATGTAAAAATTATGGCGTTTGACTTTGTTGCAGTTATTTTATGTTTCTCTGCGGTATTTTGGCCCATTCAAATTCGGCAGTTCACCACTTTTAGTCAAGCCAAGCAACTCTTTAGCTCTATTGGGCCTATTTTCTTTCTGTTGCGGTGTAAGTTCTTGCACTTTTTGGAATTTCAAGGGCATTACCCCGAGCTCATTTTTCGATATTTGCCAAATGGAGCGATGGTACGAGAGACACAAAAGATTTATTCACATTTAAATGCTGGAGAGGAGAAAATCCCAAGAACGGCAAAATGTACACATTAAAAACAAAAATAATCAAAATTGAAAAGTTAATTTATATACTATGATTAAATTACAATATTTGTTTAATTATAAACAAATCAAATTTCTATATCTTCTTCAAGGTTTCTGCTTAAAATGTTACCCCCTCTTCCTCCGCTTCTGAGTTGGCAGGGTTGCACATCATCCCCGCATATTTCAAAAATTCAGAAAATATGTCTTTGCCGGTCATGCTGCACCACTGTAAGAACATACACTTTTGTACCTATATATTCCTTAAGCATTCAGAATGATGTCTTTGCCGGTAATGCTGAACCACAATAAGAGTATATACTTTTGAATATATCCGTTTAAAATGCATAGGATGTCAATAGTATTAGAATGGTACCCTGTTTGAGGGTCCAAAAAATTCAAGGGAAGTTTCACCTTATTGTGGGTATAGCCCAACTCCGACAGTGTATTTTAAGCCTGTAAAATGTATATACAAATATTATTACTTGTATTTTAATGGGTATTATAAAAACATACTTTCCAACAAAGTGTGACTATAATCGATTTTTTTATTCCTCTTGTATTTAGCTTACGATCTCGTCATTTGGGTAATTTTTTTTTTGTCATATGAGATATTTTAAAGTTACTTCTGGGGGAATATCCCAGACAAAAAGCAAAACTAAAACCTAGGTATTCCCTGCCTTACCCCCTGGTAAACATTACCATCGTTCTCCACTAATAAACAAACGTTGTTTTTATAAAAACAACATGGGATTCAGCCTAACTATTTTGCAACAACAAAATACTACGGTATCCCGAACAAACATGTCAACACTGTTCTATTTTTTATCAGGGTTTAAAAACTTTCCCTTCTCCTCTCCTCCACTGGGAAAATAAAACATTTATTGGAGCCTCTCTATACTCCTCCGAAAACTTTCCACTTTCCCTCAACCCAAAGGTCTCTGTTGAATTTTCGTTTCGAATTTCCAGTGCCTAGACTCATTGTGCCCTGGAACGAAGTTGTTCAAACCCGTTCCTGATGCCACTCCTGTAAAATTTTCATTATGAGATTTATAGGCAAATTACTCCACCATAAAGGTGTAAACGACAATATTTGGTAGGCCGACAAGTAAGACTGGTCCAGGAAAGTGCATTTCTTAATGGGCTGGCTTAAGGTACACCTTCCAACTCTTTTATGGCCCTCTAAATGCCATTCGGTATATCTAACAAGTAAGCACAGGCTATAGTCGTGCGGGGCCGACCATGTGATACCCTACAACACTACAATATGTTCGAAGTCCCCTTATATCCAAATCCATTTTGGATGATTTTGTTCTTGAAATAATGTCAAAAAGCCCCGCCCAGAGGTTACCCTTTTTTTTTGGCCAATATTTACGCACTCCGTAGTGTTGTTAAGTATTTAAAACAATTTCACACGAAAGTTGTGGTCCATTTTACAGCTAAATATAATCCAATTTTCATCCAAAATGCTAGACTTCTTCCTTGTCCTTAACTCTCTTCTGATGCGAAATTCCGTGTCGATTAGTTTTCAATTGTGGCCTATAGAGCGACTACAAAATTAGAAAAAATAATTTTTTTTAATCCATTTGCACCTCTAAATGTAGATCTTAAGAACAATAGACTTTAATTTTGACCCTAACCCTACCCCGTGCCAAATTTCGTGAGGATAGGACGATAATTGCGACATGCATATAAAACCCTCAATACGTAGTGTTGGGGGCGTAAAAATTTAGAGAAATTACAATCCAAAATTGTAAGTCAAATTGAAAAAATCGCATGCGATAAAAAATATGACAAAAATTGAAAAAAATCGACAAAAGATATTCACTTTTTTATTGGCATATTTTTCCGCGATTTTCTTAGATTTTATCGTTTTCTGGTAAGAGACCATTCCGAATTGATGGGAATTGTGAAAATCGGCCCAGCGGTTCTTGATTTATAAGCAGAATAAATATGATCAATTCTTTTACATATATATTGCACCTATTTTGCTATATATTCGATTTCTTTGTTATTAGCATCACTGTAATGGTCAGAAGTAATCTTTTAATGTATTTGTAATTTGGCAGGGATTGAAATATTCGCGGTTTAGTGGACATTTTCCCATTTTCTTACATAAAATTTAGGGTCTATTTTACCAGCTAATTATTGTCCGATGGCCGCCCAAATTGGTAGGTTTCTGCCCACTCCTAAACTCTAACTCCATGTAAATTTTCGATTGGTTCATAATTGTGACCTATAGAGCAGCTGCAAAATCATGAAATTTTTCTATTTTTGGTCCATTTCAACCCCTAAATATAGTGCGGAGAATGGACATACATAGGTAGATTGACTCATCCAATTAGTTCCTACAAATACCAATTTTTAGACAAATGTACGAATAAATGTGGCAAAACCCATCAAAATACCGAATATCGGGAGGTACCGTTATATGGGTGCTATACTAAAACGTGTACCTATACATATAATGTTTCGCCACCGGAGCTAGAACCCATTATGACTAACAAATTTTTAGACAAATGTGCGAATAAATGTGGTAAAAACCATCAAAATACCGAATATCGGGAGATACCGTTATATGGGTGATATACCAAATCGTTGACCTAGACATACAATGTTTCGACCCCGGAGCTAGAACCCATTGTGACCAACTAATACCAATTTTTAGACAAATCCGTAAAAAATGTGACAAAAAAATTCCGAATGTCGGGAGGTACCATTATATGGCGCTATACCAAAATGTGGACCTATACATACAATGATTCGCCACACCAAGTAGGACCCATTATGATCTACAAATACTAATTTTCAGACAAATCCATGAAAAATGTGGCAAAAATCATAAAAATAGCGAATATCGGGAGGTACAGTTATATGGTGACTATACCAAAACGTAGGCCAATATATCTCAACCAACCAATACCAACCATCCTAGACACAATACAAATCGTTCTGCTAAATGTTGACGCTCTACGTCAAATAATGTAAGCTGTATCGTGATTTACAGATAACAAAGGACATATGATTCTGGTGGCATGAATTCATCATTACGACACCCTGCTTATTAACTACAAATGCTGCTTATTAACTTCAAAATACCCAACATGCAGAATTCGCCATAAATCTGACAGATGAGATTGACCAGGTTGCAATTATAGACCAATCGATGCGGAAGTTATCATGGGGCTAGAGCTTAGGGCTGGGCAGAAGCCAATTCCAATTTTGATGATCATCGGGTAATATTTAGTGGGTAAAATAGACCATAACATTTGTGTTAAATAAAAGTCATATTTTCCATTAAACCGCGAATATTTTTAATCCCGATGAAATCACAAATACACGAACAGGTCAATTCTGCCGTTCCGATACTAAATATATCGCACATATATAGCGAAATATATACAACTAGCTGGCCCGGTCCGCGTTGCCGGCCCGTAGTTTTTGTCTATTATGCATATATTCCCAAGCATAATTATTCACAGATATGACTGATATAAGTGTTCACGTACAGGTCGATTTAAAGTGTTTTAAAATACCTGTACCCATTTTTAACCAGTGGGCTTCAATATTTAAACCGTGGGCTTCAACTGTGTGGATGTGCTATACAAATCTATTAAAAAGTATATATCAATCTTATCGCCATATAAGTGATCAAATTAATTTTTAGTATGGTAAAAATCGTAGCAAAATCTTCCAGTCAAATGAGCAGTAATTTGGAATTTGCTGTATTTTGTATACTACATAATTGAGGGCTGAATGATTTAAGAATAGCCAAAGTTAATTACTTTTTTAAACCCATTAGCAACTTAGATTGTGCATTAGAGTCCTCATAAGTCCCCCTAACCATGTCAGTCTGTTTGTCCGCCAAAAGGTGGACTTGAGAGGGTATTATAACATGGATAAAAATTCTAAAATTTGTAGATATGTTGAAATTTTAGTGTAAGATTTTCACCCCCCTAATACGCATTATTAGCCAAATTCTTTGAAATGTGGTTAAATTAGGAGGTACCTTCTTTATATGGGCACTACTCCGAAACATCGACCTACATTGAAAACTTTCTTCTACCCCTTATAATCCAAGATGACAAATAGAGGCCAAATCAAAAATATAGCAGAACAATATAGCATGTCATAGCATTTCGCGTGATTTAAATAAGTAAAAATAGTTTTATCCACCTCATAATTGAGGGCAGAATGATAAGATGGGAATTAATTTTATTTGCCATTTAAATTGTAAGTTGGAGACCCCTTAAAGTCCATATTTTCATCATAGGATAATTCAATGATGATTAAACAAATATTCGGTCCCGTGCTACTTTCTTATATTTGTAATTTCTTCATGTTTCCACAATTTATTTCATATGGATGCACATCCCAAATCTACGTTCCCAACCAATATTCTCTTGGGGGTTAAAAATTCAATAGAATACAAAATTTTCTTTTCTGACCACACATTAGATGTGAAAGTGGACTTGGGGATACTCCAATGTGGGGACTTTACTTAAATAAATTCCTATGTGGCAATTATCTGTATGATGGTTCCCTACCCCAGGGTGGCATAAATAAATTTTTTTAGCCAAATCAATTGATGAATGTGGTCAATACCAATATATGCCCTACTCTGAAAATTTCAAATTTTATGCGAAGAGGTTATCTACCCCCTTAGAAACAAAAATGTCAAATAAGGGCCAAAAAATGAAAAAAGTGGCCGGCCAAGACCCCAAAAATAACTTAAATCATAGATGGTTATATAAATATGAAATCGGGTTGTTCCCTTATCCATGAGTTATGATCGATATAAAGACCTGCAAAAGTGATTTTAGGTATTTTGAATGTTTGGGAAGAATTTCTGGAAGGATATAAAACCTTTTCTTACTAAAAGTCCCATTCGCTCTACTATTTTGCACCTTTTATTTCAATATTGGTATATTACTTATTATTCTCCCAAAGAATTTTGCATTTTGAGCTCTCATTGGACGGATCATTGTCACGCTTTGAAATGAGCCCCATTAAGCTTTTTCGGTCATTTTTGTTAGTTTAAACGTGTTCGCATCTTCCAGCTAACCCACGATGTAGGCCCTGGAGTTGAAAGGTAGATGTCAGTTAACATCCTATTTCGCACTTATTCAATTTTTTTAGTGAAAAATTATTCTTTATTTTGTTCACAAAAAAAAATTGACAAAAAAAAGAATAACAAATTGAAAAAGTCTTCAACTTTTTCGCTGATTTTTTACAGCAAATGTTTTAAGATCCTTCCTTACAAAGTTTGTCAATAGAATGTACTATTACTTTAAAATTCGATTCCATTGAAAATGTTTTTTTGATTTTTGCAATGAGATCTCTTTTTCATGATTTTTCAGCGATTTAGAAAAAGTAATTATCTTTTAACTTTGGTGTGACCGCGTTAAATTATTTCGATATCATCTATTCCGTTTCGCCACCACATAATTCGCTACTACACTTCCATGTAACCCGCCATCAATTTCAGTTCTCAAGAAATCAAGTCAATTAAATAAATTGGTATAAATATTCGAATTCAAAAATAAAATATAAAAAACACTACAAATGTACATTAGAAAAAAGTAAGTCAAAATGGAAAAAAAATCATGCAAAATAAAACATTACTATTGTACATTTGAAAAGTCAAAATGAAAATGTTAATATATCACATTTTTACGCGATTTTTTTGGATATTATCCTTTTCGGAGAGTAGACAACTCCGAATTTGTGTGAATCGTTAAAATTAATCCAGCGGTTCTTAAGTTATAAGCGTAGTAACTAACACAACTTACATTTATATATATAGATGTATATATACAAAGGAAAGGGATGTTGCCTAGAATTTTTATATCTCAAGAATGGCTGGACCGATGTTGCCAGAAATTTTGCAATTCATAATGCCTTCTTGGCATAAAACCATAAAATCGCATAAAAAGATGTCAATAACGATGTTAATATATATTTTGTTGTATTTTGTGATATTTTTTATTTTTTCATATTTTTTTATCGCATGTGATGTTTTCAATTTGACTTATAATATTGAAGTGTATATTTTGCAAAATTTTTTTACTTTACAACACAGGTTAGGATTATTATATACAGATTGCATTTATCGTCCGGTCATCACGAACATTTTCACATGCCTAGGGTTAGGTTTAGGCCTATTGTTTTCAAAGACGCCCGCAATATATTAAGGGGTTGAAATGGACCACCAACTAAAAATGTTCCTGATTTTCAGCCCTTATAAATGTCACAAATAAAAACCAAAGGGCACGTAATCTCGCATGAAGTTAGAGTCTAGGACAGCGGGTTGAATGGACCACTACTTTTGTGTGAAAAAATACCATCATTACTTACAGGCGATATCCGAAATACACAAAAGGCGAACTTCTGGCTTTTTATACCCTCCACCATAGTATGGAGGGTATTAAGTTTGTCATTCCATTTATAACACCTCGAAATATACATCTAAGACCCCACATAGAATATATATTCTTGATCAGCATAAAATTCTATGCCGATTTGGCAATGTCCGTCCGTCTGTGCAAAT